TTTGGACTCATAAAGCGTGTTGTTGCTATATTAAAAATCATTCATAATTATCTGTATATAATACTTATACATTAAATGTTTCTTGCTAATATTTTATGGCGATTTTAGTAGTGCCTTATTTGACCGATTGATCAGTGCAATCAGTATTGTCAGATTCCTAAATTAATATGTCTTCTGAGCTTGTTCATTTTAGTCAATCAAAAATGTACAAGACACTTTTTGAATGAATTGTTTAAAATTTCTGATTTGTATATTTTTGAAACCTGAAATTCTCATAATTTGGCAACAGACAGCCGAGGGCAATTAAGGCTTGTTTACACTTGGAACAATAATTAGCCTATAAAGTTAGCAATGACTATATTAGTGTCCAGCGTTCTGTTTATAAGTGCGCACTGCATTTATATCATTGCTTTAAATGGTCAAGCTCTTTAAAGTCGGGTGGCTCTGCCGTATTCATTAGTCATGTTGGTTTTTGGTCCATTTTGTTGGCTTTTGATGCAAGAATTTGATGAATTTGTGATTAGACTTGTTTGCTTCAACTTTGTTTCTCTAGTTCCCTTGGAGTACACTTACAGCTCAATTCAAACCAGGCACTTTGGGTTATTTTGTGGTGGTGAAATACCCAGCCTGAATGATTCAGATGTTTTCCCAAGTGATTTGAGGGGCAATGACAAATGAGTGTCGACAATAAAGAAAAGATAAAAAACTAAAAGTTAAAAAAACATGTGCCAAGTTCTTAGAAATGTAGTCTTTATGTTCATGTTGGTTTCGTATGGCTTTGATAAATTTTTATACTATTTTTAAGAAAATGTCATGCGACATATGATATAATCAAAAGGTAAAATTTTCCTTGCATGTTGAATACATGTGTGTAAATAGCCTACTCATTTAATTCTTAAGTTTACATGCATTTTTAGTGTTTTTTTTTTTCCTCGTGAATTCGAAATTCATAAATATTAAGTTTTGCGGAGTTGCACCACATGGGATTTTATAGTCTAAATTACCCTTCTGCTGTCAAAATCTGATTATCTAATATTTTAAGAGACATATTTACCATGACACTTTCAGGGTCTTCAGTTGTACTGCTATATTTCCTTTTTTCCTCTCTCTCACCACTCAGATGGATTTTGATTGGCTGTCAGTGTTTTTTTGTTTTTGTTCATTAGCTAGAAAAAAACTTTATCCTTTTCTACATTATATTTCTTCTTTATTTTTTACTTTAAGCTCCCCGCAAAAAATCTAAATGAATTTTAATCCATAAATTAAAAACATGTTTAACTGAGGAGGTAGCCTATGTTCAAGCCATTCTGTGTGTATGAATTTCAATTTTAATTTAAGTGCATAAAATAAATCAAGCTCTCACACATCAGGGCAAACAATGAGGATCCTTTCATTAACCCTCAAAAGTATTTTTTCATTCTGATAATTTCTTACGGAGACTCCAACTAGTCATTAAACATGTATCTGGAACTTCTGACCGTCAGTACCCCACTTTACAGAGCATAGACTTACTCATCTGTCCTCAATAAATGCAGAAACCTATGGCGGGATGAGACGCAAGCAGCATCTGTGAAGCGTACTAAACCAAATGACTGTTGTTAAGGCAGTTTTCATACACTTTAACAGTCTCGCCCTCAATGCAAATGAGGCTTAATGTAATCATGTGTGTGTGTGTTGCCAGTTAGATTACAGTACTGTCACTTGATCACACACTAGTTCAGTTGTGCAGTCTAACAGCACTAATTGTGTTCTGAGTCTAATGCAGTTGCACAGATAGACCAGCATGCAGGACATGAATACTAACAGGCAGTCCAGCATCTTCCAGAAACAGAACGGCCCACTTCACCAGGCACAGCCGCTTTGTATTTGCATTGAGATGCATCTAACTCTTAGCTAAGTAATTGTTTTGAGCATGCTAATGAACTAACCAAATTTCAGTTTAATCTCCAGAGATTGCACAGGTTTTCTTATAGAGCTCACCTTGTTAAGCCTCTGTATAGGAAGGGAAATTGAAATGTCTATTTGAAGTTCATCGCCATATAATTATTTTCCAATTAGATCTCGGCTGATTGTGCTCTCATCTTCCGTGTTCTAAAGGAAACGATTCGTTAATCAAAAAGCTCATCTAATCAGATGCTTTAAACAGTTTTAAATTGCCCTGAGATCTCTGGTTTCATATGATTAGACATATTAGACATTAATCCAGACCTTGGAGAGGAGTAAATGCATAGATCCAATGCATGAATAGATGGTAGTACTGGTAGTACTGCTGGATGTTTGCATTAAAGTGGTACAAAGTTTAGCAGGGTATCATGGTTCTATTAGCCCCTGGTGGTAGATTCTATAACTACAGCATTTGGACTCATAAAGCGTGTTGTTGCTATATTAAAAATCATTCATAATTATCTGTATATAATACTTATACATTAAATGTTTCTTGCTAATATTTTATGGCGATTTTAGTAGTGCCTTATTTGACCGATTGATCAGTGCAATCAGTATTGTCAGATTCCTAAATTAATATGTCTTCTGAGCTTGTTCATTTTAGTCAATCAAAAATGTACAAGACACTTTTTGAATGAATTGTTTAAAATTTCTGATTTGTATATTTTTGAAACCTGAAATTCTCATAATTTGGCAACAGACAGCCGAGGGCAATTAAGGCTTGTTTACACTTGGAACAATAATTAGCCTATAAAGTTAGCAATGACTATATTAGTGTCCAGCGTTCTGTTTATAAGTGCGCACTGCATTTATATCATTGCTTTAAATGGTCGGAGATCTTTTTAAGGGGGGGGGGTTTTTTTTTTTTTTTTTTTTTTTTTTTTTTTTTTTTTTTTTTAGCGTTCGTTCTGGAAAAAAAAAAACATTCTGAAAGTTATTCCAATGAATTGTTACAGTTGAGGTGTAGATTTCTCTATTTTCGTAGAATGTAAATAGTTATTCAAAATTAAATGATTATTGAAACTAGTTATAGTTATCATCCTTGGTCTGAACAGGCCTTAAGAATTGCATCCCCAACACCCCCCCACCCCCCAAATAATTTATTACTCAAATACCAAAACGTCTGTGAACACAACAGTGAAAGTAATTGTAGTTTTTAAAGAAACTTTTAGATTAGAAACAAGAACCGGGCCGCTTGTTCAAACTTGTTACAAAAATAAACACTGAGAATTTAGTTTGTCATCTTTCAATTTACAGGTAACTTCTGCATGGTGTTGAGTCTTGTCAAAAAGTAGCGGTATTTGTAGCTGTATTTTTTTGTATATTTATGCTCACACAACAACATTTGTGAAATCAGTCTTTCATCACTTTCCATCTCTGCCCATCTGTGCGCGTGCTCCATTATCTTAGTCAGGTCTCTATCAAACTCACGTGCTCTCGCGCTCCTGATTGGATTACACAGCTCATCCCTGCTTTCACTCACACTGTTATCTGCTGTTTTTACTGGCTTCTGTCTCTGTGAAGTAAGCACAAGGTTTAATTTAAAGGTTTAATAAGGATTTTTCCCTGCTGGCATGGTCTTTTTATTTTTTTAAACTTGCTTTACTGAAATTTCACTAGCCTTAAAACCAAATGGTACTTAAAAAAAAAAAAAAGCACATTTTACAAAACCTATGAGTGACATTGCAGTACTGGGCTAATGTGCCAAAACCTCACTCTCACTGGTGGGGCATCCTCACGGTAACATGATATTATTGTGTACATCCTGCTGCAGATGTGTGGTATGTGTCTGGAAGCTAAACCCTTATTCATGAACCACACTTATTTGGCAGTGATGCCCCCTGCTGGCTGTCTGTGGTTGCCAGTGACTATTTGTTCTATTGTAACTGTCATTAGTGTTTTGATTGTCAGAATTCTACTTGAATAGTGAATCTGGTGCTGCAGTTGAATAGTGAATCAGTGTTACACAAGACAACTTGCTCCCAACGGTGAAATGAGATTGGTATGAAATAGCTGTACTGTGTATAGAGTATCAAAGCGTGTTCTGCTTGAATATGAGATGAAAATGCAAAAATGTTTGGAGTCTGAGAAGATTAAAAGTGTTTTTGAATTATGCTCACCAAGGCAGCAATTTATTTGATGAAAGATACAGTAAAAACAGTAATATTGTAATATATTATCACAATTTAAAAATGTATTTTTTGTATTTTAATACATTTTAAAATGTTATTTGTTCCTGTAATGGCAAAGCTGAATTTTCAGCAGCCATTACTCCAGTCTTCAGTGTCTCATGATCCTTCACTAATGATTCTAATATTCTGATTTGGTGCTTAAGAAACATTTCTTATTAATGTTATAAACAGTTGTGCCGCTTAATATTTTTGTGGAAACTGTTTTTTAGGGAATAGAGTTTTTAAAACAGCATTTGTTTGAAATCGAAATCTAGTGGCCTGTCACTTTTCAATTTAATGTATCCTTGTTGAAAAAAAACAAAAAAAAACTCCTCCTGACTCCAGTATTTTGAATGGTAGTGTGTATGTTTCTATTTTTACAATACACATACAATTACACAAACGTGCGTTATTTTATTTTCATTTACTTTAGAACCTAGATTTTAGCATTTAACTAAAAATAAAGAGGTTTTTGGTTAAAACAGTAGAATTGAAATGCAACAGTAAAAACGGAAACTTGAATACAGAACAGGCAGCAGCGATGAAATGTTTGTTTGCATGTGTTTAAGTGATACTGTTGCTGTGGTTTCCAGGCCAAGCCTAGTGTAGATGATCGGCTGCCAAGCAGGAGAGGTGCCCATTGTTTTGAGGGATGCTCATATTGCGTCTTTCCCAGCTTCGATGCAAATGTCCATTGTTTTATTTCACAGGCATGAATAAAATAATGAGTTTCCCATTTTCAGCACACTCTGAATGCAAACAGGAGAATGGTTTTCTTTTTTTATACAACCAGCCCATGTACATGCTTTTTATTGCCTTTTTTGTTGTTGTTGTTACTATCCACCTATACTCCTCTCAACCATTTCCTGTCTCCATCTCTTTCAGAATGCCAAGTCTTTGTCCTCCTCAGACAGCCTAGCGAAGGTGCAGGAGGTAGCAAGCTGGCTTTTGGAAATGAACCAGGATCTGCTGTCGGGGGGCAGCGGCAGCAGGGCGGCCCAGCAGCAGAGGCAGAGGCCTGGGGCAGCGGGGGCAGGTAACAGCACCTCCGGCTGCACACCTCAGCCCCAGGCGGAGCACATGAATCGGGTGCTGGAGGAGCAGGAGCAGGTGGCACAGCAACAGAGAAGAGAACCGGGCGAGGAGGAAGAGGGTGGACAAGAGCGGCCAAGGGAGGCAGAGGAGGAACCATGGCCTTCCGGAGGTGAGCCGGTGGAGGAAGGACGGAGGAGCGAGGTGAACGGAGCCGAGAAGGGCGCCCAGTGGATGTGGGAGCAGGAGCAGCATCGGCGGCATAGACGGCATCGCGAGGAAGAGGCGGAGAACGAGGAGGAGGAGAATAATAATGCCGGAAGGGAAGGGCAGGTCGGGGTGGGACTTCGTTCAGAGGAAGACGACGACCGGCCGGAGGATGAGGAGGAAATGGACCAGGATAGCGATGAGTTTGAGCATTCAGGAGAGAGTGGGGAGGAGGAGGAGGAGGAGGAGGCTGAAGATGAGGAGGAAGGAGAGGAAGGCCTCCACTCTCCCTCCCTCAGGACCAGTGTGTCGGACTTTAATGATAACACAGACCAGTCCTCTGGACGACGACATCAAAGCTCACCATCTGTCTACAAGAATAAGGTAAGCGACTAAATTTAACTATGATCTGGTTTTTAAAGTCCAGATGAATAAATGGAATTATTCTTCTGATTAAATATAATGTAGTGAAAAGTGTCTTATCTGTGCAGAAGTTTTAATGGGCTTGTGCAATCATGGTGTTTGTCTCCCTCTACTGGCCATTTTTGGCTTAACATCAGATAAACAATCATCATTTGAGACTTGATTTTATCGAGTGATTAAGGAAAGCTACAACTGCGTCATAGCCCAGACATTACCTACCTGATTATTGCAAGGAATATTCTTTCAAATAAAGGTTGGTTTGATAATATGGAGAATATTGGCATGCATTGAATTTGTTCAGGAGTGTCTGGATTAATTTAAAACTAAATTTCTCCTATAGTTCTGACGTTCTATGATCACTTGGGTGATGGAAGTTCTTTGTTAAAGCAGAGACTTTTTTTTTGTCAGCCGAACCCCTTTAACAACATATTTTCTTAAAGTTACCCCCTTGAGATTTTTAGTATTTCGATAATATAACAACACATTTGCATGTTCACGGTTAATGAGTTGCCTGACGTGCAAGTAAAGAAATTAGATATTAAAACCTTTAAAAAAAATCATTTTTTATGATAATTATTTTTATTTCAAAAATTTTAATTTTCAAAAATTACATTATATTTTTTTAATTGTTTATAGAACAGTGCTGTACAATTTGGTCAAAATTATGATTTTGTCATTATATTGCATTTTGAATTGTAATATAAACATTTATACTCAATAAAAAATGTTTTAAAATCTCATTAAAAAATGAAGACAGAAATATATTACTGTGATACTACGCTCAATTTAGTTTTTGGTACTACAATTTGATACTATAATTTAGATAAAAAATACAATTTAATTAAAATATTCATCATTAATAGATTTTATTTTACACTATGTATTACTAAACTAATATCGCTTAGATTCTTCATTTTCACACATTAAACCCTCAAGTTTTTATTTGTTACAATTCTGACATTGCAAAAAGTGCTGAAACTTAGGGCTGCACAATTAATTGAATTTCTAATCACGATTGCAATTATGGATGCCACAATTACGTAATTGTTCAAAGCGACAATTAATCGTTCAAAGTCCACTTAAGTTATTCTGCTTTTTTTTTCTTTCTACATGTTATCTTAAGGGGTTTTCCATTGTTTTAATTTTAGTTTTAGTATAACACTATAATACCATTTGTATTTTTACTTTTTTTATAATTTAAAGAAGAAACCAATCTGATGTATAGTTGACATTTGAGGCTTGTTTATTTTCATATACAAATACGGCATGCAGTTGCATCAAACATATAAACATCATTCAATGTAAATTGTGATAATCGTAATTAATAATCGCAATTACAATTTCAAGGCAATAATCGACAATTATGATTTTTGTCGTAATCGTGCAGCCCTACTGAAATTTATTTCTGAAAGAAATTTGGAAGTTTTTTGCATGTGAAAAATTTGTCCTGGCGCGCATTGCATTTCCAAAGCTCTTTACTTTGAATATCGCATTTACAGTTTTCTATTTTATTTTATTTTATTTTTTAATTGTGCTGCCCTTTTAATTTATTTTAATTTGACCTTTTTATGATTTTAATAAATTATTAGTTTTCTATTTGAGGAAACCTGAGTTAAAGAAATAGTTACCTAAAATGAATAATGTTGTAATTTACTCACACTCATGTCATTCCAAATATCATCTGCACACAAGTTAGTATTTTCTTTGGGATTTTTGTGGAAAGAGTTTGCAGATCTGGTCTGGGCCTGTCCATGTCTGAGGGTTCAAACAGCAGGCTTGTATTATGCTGCAAGATGCCTTTTATTACTTGTCGTTGACCTCAAAAGGAAAGCCTTTGAGCTTTATTTAACTGGACTGGTTGTTCATACAGCGGGTAAAATAAGTATTGAACACGTCACAATTTTTCTCAGTAAATATATTTCTAAAGGTGCTGTTGACATGAAATTTTAACCAGATGTCGGTAACAATCCAAGTAATCCATACATACAAAGAAAGCAAAACAAATAAGTTCAGAAATTAAGTTCTGTGTAATAAAGTGGAATGACCCAGGGAAAAAGTATTGAACGCATGAAGAAAGGGAGGTGCAAAAAGGCATGGAGAGCTAAGACACCAGCTGAAATCTATCGATAATTAGAAAGCAATCCTGCCCACAGTCAGTGGAAATTAATATTAGTTGGTTCAGTCCCAACTGATGGGCTATAAAAAGGTGTCTCATGACCAATGTGTCACATAAGAAACATTTCATGATGGTAAAAGCAAAGAGCTCTCAAGACCTTCGCCAACCTTATTGTTGCAAAACATATTGATGGCATTGGTTACAGAAGGATTTCTAGGTTTATCAGCCGCAGTGGTGGATCATTAAATGTAAACATCAGAGGCCATAGACGTTCACACCATTAATGTGTGTGTGTGTTTTTTGGCAAGCCATGTGGTACCCATAAGCAGTTTTTTTCAAATATTGTGTATTGGTCAGCTTGAATAAAAAAAGAGAGATTGGGTCTGTTTTTGAGCAAAGAGGAAATACAAATGAGCGGAGATGGAGAAGAGCGAGGGGAGGGAATGCAAGAGCGCACAGACCCTCCTCATCCTCATGATGTCGACACGCTTGTCAACGCACTGACAGAAGACGACCTGCGAATCTTGTACCATTTCTGTCTGAATCTCTCTGAGCTGCCATGGGGAATCGCAGTATGAAGAAGGTCGCACTGTTACTGGTGAGTGAATCTCCAGAGAACATCTTATCACATCTGTGTGTGGAGAGTGTCTCATCCGCCTTTTGAAGCCGCTGTGTGTTTTGGATGAGAACACCGTGTTTATCTGATTGAGGCAGCCACAGCAGGGCTGAAGTTCACAGAACAGTGATGTGTGGAGTGTGCCTTTTCAAAAGGATGTGAATGTTTTGTCATGTTTTTTTTTTTTAAACAACAAAACCTAGTGAGCTGCCTGTCTAGTAGGGATGTGGTCAAGATGGTTGATTAGTTGACCTTGCTAAGTTTTAGATTGACCTTGAATTGAATTAGATTATTTTTTTTAATTAACAGTAGTGATTTAATTAGCCTGTTGACTGTGTGTTGTGCTTTAGTTGGTAGTAGAATGGTTTTCAAACTGGTCTCTGGGCATACCGGGGTCCGTAAGAGGGTGCTAGGGGTCCACAGAAATGTTTGGAGAGAAAATGTGTAAATGATTAAATATATAAAGACTATTTTAGTACACTGTAAAAAAAAATCCAACTTGCAAAGTAGTTTGAACAAAGATTTAGTAGGAGTCGTCTATTATAATGTGTGAACTGAACAAGATGTTTTTAACAAGTTGTTTTGTTGACCTTACTTGGATACTCAAGTATGTTCAAGACTTGTCCTAATGTTCTTCCAGCTTTCTGAATAGTCATCTGAACAAACAGTTTTACGTTGCACAGTGTTGTGCAAGTTTCCAACCTGCATTGCAGCTTAAAAAAATTATACAAATTATATTTAAAAAAAAGAGAATCATTTCACTTTTTACTGCTCAATTTAAGCTGCTGTCACTGTTAGTATGCTGTCTAATTGGTTCAGAGTTCATATTACTGAATTAACATTTGTTCATCACCATGTTTGAGATTTGTTGAGCTACAGACTATTTTGTGTTGCTCATTGCAACTATTCAATTTAAAATATTTGGATTTTAAATATATATCAGGGTAATATGTTTGCCTCTAGCTTTTAAGTGGCTATTAATGCCCTTTTCATTTAGTTGGCTTTAGGGTTGGACCGATATGTGTTTTTCAGGGCCAATGCTGATAACGATTATTACAGATCAAATAGACCAATAACCGATATTTTGAACCGATTTATATATCTGGTGTAAAAATGAAAATTAATGTCAAAATTAAGAATAACAAGGGCTCTGACAAGAAACTTTATTTAAATGCTTTAAAATTATTTTATCAGCAAATCAGTTTTGAAAATGGCTGATACAATAAAATAAATGGTTAATATTGACTTCGATAATTGGCCAGGCCAAAAATCGGTCAAACCATAATTGGCTTTGAAAATCAAGCAAAGGTGAAAATACGGTTTGTATCTCCTTGCATTGGTAAATGTTGAGCAATCTTTGGTTGCCTTGGCAAGAATTTTTTATTATTTTTTAATTCATATTAATTTCATTTAAGTATGTCTTTGGCTTATGCTTTTTGTTTTTGAGCATCTTACATTATGAGTGTTATGGCATTATTATGGCAAGTTGAAAGTAGTTTGATAACTTAAAAACATTTTTTTTAAACCACTATGTCCTGCTTCGTTGTGGTCTGTCCAGCTGTTATTTAATGAGTCCCCCCAAACCAAGGCTTCTTTTAAAGGAGATTAGTTGACTAGTGAAACCCCACTGACCAGTCAGTTTTAAAAAAAAAAGGCATTTGAAGTAATTTTGAAAAAAAAAAAAAATTATAATAATAAAAACTCTTGCCAGCTCTTTTGGTCTAGTCCGTGTAACTTGGACTCAATAGTACAGAGCGCATCTGTGGCTAGTCTCCTAATCCTCTTGGCTAATCAAGATTTCATTAAGAACTTGAACAGGAAATGCTGAACCTTTGTAAATGAGGTCGTTCTAAAATTTTTCCTTGAGAAAATGTTGTTCCACCGTGTTTTTTCTGGTTTGGGATTATGCATTCAGAGCTTTCTGTAGTATGCTAATGTTGGGCTCTTGAAAAGGCTGTGATAGAAATAACAGTTGGTTTTAATGCCAAATTAGTATTCAAAAGCAACATCCTGTAACCGATAGTGTTTGTGTTAAGCTCAGTAATGATTGAATTCCCTCATGCAGTGTAAGACAACAGAATAAAGAACTGAAACACTGAGTAGAGTGCAGCACTTTCTAATCTGACGTCAATCTCAGAAGTCAGAGTCTTGACCTCAAGGTTGATTTAGCAGGACTGAAGAAATGAACGTGGAAGCAGTTCCATATAAACAAACAAAGGTGAAACCTGA